TAATTGAATTATTGCGAAAAATTTTATTAAAATGTTTAAAAAGAATTAAATTTTTGTGGAAAATTTTGTTATTTTTGAAAATAATTGAATTCTTCATAAGAATTTTATGAACATTGTTTTAAATAATTAATTTTTGCGAAATATAATAAATATTATGAAAATTTTATTTCAAATAATTGAATTCTTTAGGAAAACTTTATTTGTTGAAATAATTAAATTTTTCGATTAATTAATTTAAAATAGTATTAAAAATAATTGAAATTCTTCGATGAGTTTTATTATTTATGAAAATAATTGAATTCTTGCTGAGAATTTTATCAAAAATTTTTTTAAATTATTGAATTCTTTTGCGAAGTTTCATGAAAATAGGGATATTGAAAATAATTGAATTTCGAATATTTTTTGAAAATAATTAAATCGATTTAAAGAATTTGATTATAATTTTTGAGAATAGTTTTTTGATTTCTAGTATTAGCTTTATTAAAGTAGTGGAAATTCTAAAAAAAAAACAAAAATAGTAGCTTTTAGTAGCTGAAATTTAAAAAAAAGTACCCAAATAGTAGCCTAACGTAAAAAAAGTAGTAAATAGTAGGTTTTAGTAGAGGAGTGCGAAGCTTGAAATAAGTAAAAAATAAATGAGTAAAAAATAAATTAGTAAAAAATAAATGAGTAAAAAATAAATTAGTAAAAAATAAATGAGTAAAAAATAAATGAGTAAAAAATAAATTAATAAAAAATAAATTAGTAAAAAATGAATAAGTAAAAATTAAATTATCAAAAAATAAACGAGTAAAAAAATTAATTACAAAAATATTAATTAACAAAAATAAATTACCACATAAATTTTAGAAAAAGAAAAAATGTACACAAATTCGTCGATATAATTTAGCTATTCCTAGATTATTCACACAAGAATTTATGTGCACATATCAATATAATCGGCCTAAATATTGCGAAACCTTGGAGAGAATAAAAAATGATTAGGATCAAAGTTTTCACATGAAAGGTGCATGTGCACATAATTACTGAAACATTTACGGCAGAGTGGGTAATCGGAGCAAATTTAACTTTATATACTTGAAAGCTTTCTCAGCGACCGGCTTATATACGTATATATGTGTATATATTATCGAATCAGCGCAAAAGAAGGTGGATTAATGACGATCAAAGGAAGCGTACAAATATACACGTATAGCTCAAAGAACTGACGTTCAAGTAAAACACCATATAGGCTAATAACCTCGTGATGAAAAAAAGTCCCCCTTTCGAAATTAGGAAAACAGCTGAGCTTATTATAAAATCATTAGTGCGAAACAAAAGGGCTTTTGAATTATACACACTGCTACTATATACGAAAATCAACTCACAAATTTGCTTTTTTTCTTTTTTTTCTCTCTTCTATTTGTATATTTTCTCTCTCTCTCTACGTGTTTTTCTCTTTATTTATATTTTTTTCTCCTCTCTGTATGTATATTTCAAGTAATCAATTTACTATTTATCATTAAGTAAAAATAAAAATACTTTCTACATTTGAATTAGTAAAAATGTTTTCTAATTTGAATTAGTAACTGAATTTTTTTCTTTTAAATTCGTAAATTTTACTAATAAATACTGTTTACTATAATTATTGACCAATAAATTCAATTATTAATTTCAATTTATTAGTAAACATTTACTAATTCAAAAGCCAGTCTCAGTAAAAGTAAACTAAGTCATTAATACAAATTAATAAACAGCAGCAACAATTCGCTAACTTTTTACTTCAATTTTTAAATAAAATTAGCAATTTTCAAAATAATAGAATTTAAAAATTTTTTTAATTCAACTTTTTGTTGAAAACACTAAAAAAATTCAATTTTGGAGAAATTTTATAAATAATTGCAGAAATTCAATTTTTTTTCAAAAGTAATACAATTTTTCTTATAAAATTCAATTATGTTCAAAATTAAAAACAAATTCTCGTCAAAATCCCAATTATCTTTGAAAATAAAAAAAATTTTGCCCCAAAGTGTTCAATTATTTTTAAAAAATGACAATAAAATTCTTGTCCTAATTTTAATTTGTTTCAATATCTACTATTTTAATAAAATTTTCCGAAAAGAATTCAATTGTTTAAAAAAAAAAAATTATTAAAATTGTACATAAATATTTAATTATTTTTCAAAATAATAAAAATTCCACAAGGATGACAGGAATTCAATTATTTATAATTTTTTTTAAAATAAATTTCTTCGCAATAATTCAATAATTATTTTCATAAATTTTTAATTATTATAAATTATTATAAAACATGAAGATATCGATTTCTTCATGTTTTATAAAAATATTTTTAAAGTTGTTTAATTTCCAAAAGGGTTTGAATTTAAAATTTTTAAATGTCTTAATTCCTGTGGAAAAATAAGAATAATGAAATATTTATTTCAAAAAACTTTGAATTTTATTAAAACAATTGTATTCAAGAAATAGAAATTATCTAAATTTTATATCCTTATAAAAATTGAGAATTTTCTACAAAAATATTAAGAAATATAAAATATAAAATATAAAAATAAAATAAATAAAATAAATAAAATAAATAAAATAAATAAAATAAATAAAATAAATAAAATAAAATATAAAATATTAAATATTAAATATTAATATCAAGTTTTTCTTCCCAAAAGAAAAAAATGAGTTTGTAAAAAATATTGTTATTGATAAATATAAAATATGCATAAAATGGGTATATTTTCTACTTCTTAATTAAAATTGTTTAACAATTAATAATCTTTTAGAATTTTTTTATATAAATAAAAACAATTAAAATTTTGATTTTAAACAAATAAAATTTGTTATAGAAAAAAGCATATAAATAAAAAAATGGGTATATTTTTCATTTAGTAAACATAAAAATAAATTAATTAAATAATTAATTAAATTAATTAATTATAATTTTTTTAAATCTTCTAATTTCTAATATTATTTATATGAATCATGAAAAAATACCTATATATATATTTTCGATTTGTCACACAATTTAAAAAAAAAGTATACACAAAAACTAACTTTAAAGTGCGGACAGAATGAATCAAAGAATATGAAGATTAACATAGTTAATTTCTACTAATTCTAATTTTTAAAGTAGTTTTATGTTCTGTAAAATTAAAAATAGTAAAATAAAAAAATATTTTCAGTAGTAAAAGTCATTTATAGTCAGACAATACATGTTTATAGTTCTATAGTTAAGTAGCTCAAGTTGTTTTTAGTTAGACTCGGCATTTTAGTGTTAGTAGTAGTAGACATTTTCAGTAAGACATTTAAAATAGTTGATGCAATTTTCTATCAGTAGTACAAATAAAATTTGGTCAGACAAAACAGTTTTTTTTCGGGTTGTAATTTTAACATTATAAAACAAATTTCTTCAATTACTCTCTAAATTTGAATTAGTAATAATGTTTGCTAATTTTAATTAGTAACTTTTTTCTTTCAAAATTAGTAAATTTCACTAATAAATAGTTATTTTTACTAATTTATTAGTAAAATTTACTAATTCAAAAGCAGAAACTCTGTTGTTAATTCAAATTAATAAATTAAAAATAGTAAAATAAAAAAATACTTTCAGTAGTAAAAGTCATTTATAGTCAGACAAGTAACTCAGGATTTTTAGTTAGTTTTTCAATTAAATTAAAAATACTAAAGTAAAGAAATTCTGTCAGTAGTGAAAGTAATTTTGAGTCAGACAATACATTTTGAATCGTTATTCTCTTAAAATTAATTTTCCGAATAATAAAATGTGGAACATTGTAAATATTCCTCTTAAATATTCCATATACATTTTAGAAATATATTAAAATAGCTAACTGTTGGACTATTCCACTGGAATATTTTAGGAATATTCCATTGGAATTTTGTAAAAATATTTTCTTATTAGTATTATTGATGATATAGTAATCAATTTTTCCACCATTTAAAATAAATTCAACAATTTATTTTAAATTGAATAAGTTATTGATTTAAAAAAATATTATTCCATTTAAGTATTCCTAGAATATTCCTTAATATTATTATGGAATATAAAATTTTTTTTTTTAATATTTTTAACAAAAATATATATTTATTAATTTTTAACAAAAATATATATTTATTTATTTTATAACAAAAATATATATTTTTGTAAATTAATTAATTAATAAAAAAGTATAATTATAATAAAAAGAAATTAAAAAGAAATATATTACAAAATTTAAATAAAATATGAGCTTTACTATGAATTAATTCGTTCCAAAACATTATTAAATATTAATTAATAATAATAACTAAAAATAAAACAAGTTGTTCATTTCATGATCATTAAGCTTCCTCAATGTAATATATACCAATCGTTTAATTTTTTATTTTAGAATAATTATTTTAAAGTGTTAAGATAAAATTTCAAAAAATACAAAATTTCAATTTTTTGTGGAAAATTAAAATATTTATTAATTCTATAAATTTGAATAAAATATATACTTTATATACATGAATCAATTCGTTTTTATGTCAGGAATGCAATTTTGCCAAGAATTAATAAAAATTTTAATATAAAAAAAAGTTATTTCAAAAAATCCAAAAATTAATTTTTTCAAAAATTAAAAAATTGTTGAAAAAATTTTTTTTTTAGATATTTTCGAAAATCCTTCTGTCTGATTTTTGGTATTCGTGACCGTAATACACCTACAAAATTTTATCAAAATCCGTCAAGACGTGTAAGAGAAAATTTGTCCACAAGAATCGGTGACATACACACACACACACACACACACACATACATCCGGACATTTGTTCCTCTCGACGAATTATATATACTACACTTGAAAATTTGTAAAAATAATTGATTCTAAAAAATTCGGAAATCGACATCACTAAAAGGCTTCCTTTATGAGGAAGCAAAAAATTAATAATATATAAAAATAATTTTTCCCACACAAAATAAAAATAATATCTTTTTTTCCGGCACGTTAGCAAAAATGAGAATTACTAACCTGAAGGAACATTTCACCGTCGAGGTGATGATGGTCATAAGCTGCGAGCGCTGCCAATTCTCTTGCTCGATAATGCGAATCATGGTGAGAGTTCTCCTCCTTGTCCTTATGCATTACCACTGCAACAAAAATTCACAAAACATGAAATAAATCGACTTCATCTCAAATTAAAATCTCATCTTTTCAACTCGAGGGAAAAAATTTGTCGCAACATATATATATATATATATATATATATAAATTATCAAAAACATATAATTTTTGCTGACAGAAAAAAATACATTTTAATAAGTCCAATTTCCTTTTAATGAAAATTTTATTACAAAATAACAAGGGAATTTTAAATACCAATTTACACTGAATGAAGTTTGATTTTCTATTTTATAAAATTAATTGGAATAAAATAAAATTAATTAATTAAATTATAAAGATTAATTAAAAATGTTAAAAAATTAATTAAAAATTAAATTTAAATTAATTACAAATTACATTAAAATTAATTAAAAATTAATTAAAATTAATTACAAAATGAAAGTTTTCGATTCTTTCCAGTTTTTTATTACATTAGGTACTGTTTGCGTAAATTCAATTAAAGTTGGAATTAGTAATTATCATTAATTTGTTATCTAATTAGAATAAATTAATTTTTTAAAATTTAATTATAATTTATTATTTGAAATAATAAATTTTAATTAGTTTAATTATTTGTTAAAATTATTAATTTCAATTAATATAATTATTAATTATTAATTTCAATTAGGTAGTTTAATTATTTTAATTAATAAGAATTATGAATTATATTTATTAAATTCAGATTATTAATTTTAAGTACTTTAATTATTAGTTATATTTTTTAAATTTGAATCAGTAAGAATATAATTTGAATTAGTGACCGCCGTTTTGCTTCTAAATTATAGTAAACTTTTACTATAATTATCAGTTTTTCTAAGGATATTAAATTGAGACAAAAATTGTATCAAAAATGTTGCGAAGTAATATTATCCTTAGAAAAACTGTGTTATTAGGGGGACAGTAGGGGACAATTTCAACAAATTTAAAAAAAAAAAATTATTAACTTTTTCGTTCTCCTTTCTTTCAGGGGAGGGTGATTAAATTAAATATTATAATTAAGTATTAAGGAAATTAAATGGATGCTTAAAATATTAAAAGGCGGAACTAATTTTTAGAGTGCGTGAGCACAGAACATTTTGTTTGGAATTAATTTTTATTTTTTGAAAAAAAAAAGAATATAATATAATATTAATATTGCGCATAAATCAGCGTGTGTGTTGCTGGTGATCAAAGTTTGATATGACGACGAATCGTTGGTTTCTGCGCGCGACATATGTGACAGGATGTGAGCGACACTTCCTCTCGGGACCCCTATAATACAGGGCCGATCCGTTGCAGTTTTCATACACCTGCCACCCCATATTATTTAATATGCATGCCGTAATTAGAACTTACAAGATCACCGCGCCACTAAATAATATAGCAATGTTGCGACTTAAAAGTGACAAGATAGAGGACATCAGTGTGCGAGGGAAAAAAAAGGAGAGACAGAAACATGTTTTTTATCTCTCGCAAATTTGTATTTCTTTTATTTTTCTTTTTTTTGCTAAAGGTTTGCGGTTCCTCCGGAGGAAAGGTGTTAAAAATAAAAGGCAAAGGGAAAATTTTTTAAAATCAAATTTAAAATTAAATTTAAAATTAAATTTTCCTAATAATGTTAATTTGCGAAAATTTATCGAATGCTTTACGAGTGGTTGAAGCGGTATAATTTATATTTTGTACTCTTGAAAATGATTTCTTATCGAAAAATCTAACACACAGACCGTTGGTACTAGTCTTAACTCTTAAGAAAGTATTGGTTTCCTAAAGCTGGCTAGTAGCCAACATTGAAATTTAATCCTGGTATAGTTAATAGGATCCGCAAGAAAAGACCCTTTCTTGAAAGGGTTGAAAATATTGATTTCATTCTCTCAAGTAATTTGCATATGTAAAATTATATTTCTCTGAATGTGCGATATGCGCGATGATAATAATAGGAGAAAAAAATTTCCATTCTTGTGTAAACAAGATGTTTTGACACTGTTGATTAATTGACGTGAAAAAGTTGTTTAATATTCAAATTAATAATTATAATGATAAATTAATTAGAATTCAATTAATTTTAATTAAATTAACTATAAATTAATAACTATTTATTAATTAATATTTAATAATTAATAATAATTAATAACAACTTACTCTCTAAATTAAAATTAATAAAAACTAGCAACAATTTGCGCGCTGACTTCTTACTCACTTTTTTAAATAAAATTTTTAAAATAATAGAATGTAAAAATTTTTAATTCAAATTTTTTTTTTATAAAAATAAAATATAAATTGGTATATATAGTTTTAATATAATTATAATTATAATAATAATAATATATTCTGACAGGAAATTCAGGAAAAAGTCAGGAATTTTTATTAATAGTAATGAAAAAAATTAAATGTTTAGAATTCATAAAAAAAATTCTGAATTTTTGTACTTTTTTTTGTTTGCTTCATAAACTATTAAATTACCACGAATTCTAATAAAAAACCTTCAAATTTTTCTATTTCTGACAAAAATTTCTTTTTAAATAACTTAAATCTTGAACAACTATCATAGAATAAAAAAATTATTTAATAATTTTACTTAAGTATTTCAAAATTAATTCAATTTCAAAAGAGTTGCGTTTACAATTTTCAAAAGTAAATTATCTTCAAATGATTTCAATTTAAAATTTTATAAAATTTCAATGTTGAATGAATTTAATTAGAAATTTTAGGAACTTAGATTTTTGAAAAAGTTTAATAATTCAAAATTCTTCTAAAATTAGTTAAATTTGCCAATATAAATTTAATTAATTATTGAAAACAATGGATTTATAGAAGAATTAAAAAAAAATTGAAAAAAACTAAAAAAAATTGAATTTTGAAGAAATTACAAATGATTGCAGAAATTTAATTATTTTCAAAAGTATAATAAAATTCTTATCACAAAATTCCATTACGATCAAAATTTACAAAAAGTTCTCGACAAACTCCGAATTATTATCTTTATAAATAAAAAAAATTCTTTTAAATTTTTCTTTTAAATTCAATTATTTTCAAATGTTTTAATAACGAATATTTTGAATATTTTGAATCTTGTCAAAATTTCAATTATTTTCAAAAATGTTCCTCGTTTCAATGATTTTCAATATCTACTATTTTAATAAAATTACTCAAAAGAATTCAATTATTTAAAAACAATTTTAATAAAATTGTACAAAAAACATTTAATTATTTCCATAAATAATAAAAATTTCCCAGGAATTTAAATATTTACAAATTTTTTATAAGTTTCTTCTCAATAATTCAATTTTTTTTTAGAAATAATAAAACTCATCGCAGAATTTCAATTATTTTTAATAAAATTTTAATCAAATTCCTTGAAAAATGTAAATATTCTAAAAAATTTTATTGAAATTCGTCAAAAGAATTCAATTATTGAAATATTTGTTAATAAAATTTTTAATGAAAATTAAATTTTAAGAAACATTCAATTATTCTATAAATAATTGAATTATAAAATAATTGTATTTAAATAATTGAATTTTCGTAGAATTTTCTAATAAAAATTGATTTAAAAATGAATTTCAGTTCAAATTTTAAATAATAATTGAATATGAAAATAATTTTTAAGAAGTTACAGTAAAAATATTCTTATAATATAAAAATAATTATTTTATCTCTTAAAAATTTTTAATTATTATAAAACATGAAGAAATCGATTACTCCAAGTCTTCGACTCGGAGCAATCGATATCTTCATGTTTTATAACAATATTTTTAAAGTTGTTTAATTTCCAAAAGGTTTGAATTTGAAATTTTATGAAAATTTTAATTTGTATGAAAAAATAATAATAATTAAATAGGTATTCAAAATATTTAAAAAAGAAATTGTTTTCGAATGACTTTACAATTAAAGATATTCGTAAATAAATTTAACAGAATATTCTTTTCAATAAAATTTTTTCCTTTATTTTCTAAAAATTCGAAAATTTTCAGTTTCATTTTCAATTAAATTTTCTAATTGACAAATATAATTTATAAACATTTTTTTCGTTTTTTTTTTTTAAACTTTGAATTTTATTAAAACAATAATTGAAATTAAGAAATAGGATTGATGCAAATTATTCCCTTATGAAAATTGAGAATTTTCTACAAAAATATTAAGAAACGGGAATATCTAATGTTTTTCTTCCCAAAAGAAAAAAATGAGTTTGTAAACAATATTGTTATTGAGAAATAAAAATTATGCATAAAATGGGTATATTTCCTTCTTTTTAATAAAATTTTTTGAACAATATACAATTTTCTAGTATTTTTTATAAATAAAAAGGAGAATAATTTGCATAGTAATTTAGATCAGTCGAACGAAATTTGTTTTAGAAAAAAGCATATAACAAACAAAATGGATATATTTTTTATTTGTCAATCATAATTTTTTTTAAATTTTCTTATTTGTAATTTTCTTATTTTCTTATTTGTATATTTATTTCATAAATTTTTTACAATTTATGAAAAATTTGCCAGTACTAAAATAAAAAATCTTGAAATTTTTTCACAGAGGAAACTTTTCATAACTCTTTGATCTGTTCTTATTTTTTTCTGTTTGTTAATAATTATATGGATCGATAATATTGTTTTACGGGGGTTTCTATCATCGGAGATCATTTGAAAATAGCAGGAAGTCCATCGAAGGGAAAAGAAAGACTAATCGCGATCGTTGTCGTGTCACCGGTCATTGCGGCCTGTTTGGCACGTGGCCATCGACCCCACCTACAGTGGCTTTCTTATATCTTTTTATCTTGACTTCCCCTTATTGCTAGTTTTAATATTTCAATTTTTCCTCGGCGATAGAAACAAAGTCAAAAATCATTCAACGAATTTCTTCGATGAAAAAAAAATCCCGCTGTTTTAACTAAGTATATTTATTCGCACTCAATAATTAATTATAAAAAATGTAGCAAAAAGTACTTTTAAGACCGAAAAAAGTAGTAAAAAATATTTATCGAAAAAATATATTTTAAAACTAAAAAAAC